TCTCTCGAGGAGATGCCACGTCTCCCTATCCGTGTGTGCCAGATCCCCTTCCTCCCGTCCATCCCCAACGGTATCCCTCCAACCAGTGTGGGGTTATTTCCCAGGTCTCCTTCTCTCCCTGATAGAAGATTCCCGTCAAGAGGTTCACAGGCGGTCTCCCTTCCCCCAGGACGCAATGTGGCAGATACTTTTGATCACGTTACTTTTAATTACGGACGAGTGGAGGCATAGACGTGACACACCGTCTCACCTGTTGGCACACGGCACCTGGAGGGCCTCCCCAGGTGACCCCCAGTCTCCATGTGCCATGAAGTAGGGCGATTGCCAGAAACGTCGCCCATCATATGCAATACACGTTCTCCGTTCCGCGCGCAACGATGTGATCGTGGAGCTTAGCGGTGTTTGTCATAGGTCACATCGGGTACAGTATTGGCTTGCGTGTAAATCAGTTCGCGTGGCTATGCCATTCAACATATAAAGATCCCCCGTGTAGCCTGCACAGACTGTCGCGGGGGGGGGGGGCTACAAGTTCTGTGAGCGAGCGACACCGATTGGTCCCCGCACGGCTGTTGGTGGCTGTGAGCGGGATTCGAACTCTGGTCGGCCCGGTTCGTAGCGCAGTAGCGCGCTCACCTCCGCCACCGCTCACCTCCGCCACCGCTCACCTCCGCCACCGCTCACCTCCGCCACCGCTCACCTCCGCTACCGCGCTTACCTCTGCCACCGCTCACCTCCGCTACCGCTCACCTCCGCTACCGCTCACCTCCGCTACTGCGCTCACCTCCGCCACCGCTCACCTCCGCCACCGCTCACCTCCGCTACCGCTCCCCAGAGGGGAGTGGAGTCGTGAATCCACGACCCGTGGATTGTTCCACCATCGCGTCGTCACGGTCACGCAATGAGCCAGTAGGCGAAGACGCCCATCCATGAAAGCACAATATCATTGTTTATGTTTGACATATCCCATCAGCCATTGTAGACTTTCACTGCATGGGAGCGCATCGTTTCAGCAGCGGCAGCATTTGTTCAATGCACGCAGACAAGCTGTGGTCTGGTTTCGACATTAATTGTCTCATCAGCAGCAAAGCCAGGCCTTGCTCGAAGCGATGATGCTGGCGAAGTGCCAGACGTCTGTAGGAAAATATACTTTCTGATTCAAACACGCCCGGCTGCTTGATGAGACAAAAATGGAATTTGCTTTGCGCTGAACCCAACGCTGCTGAAACGACGACGCGAGTCCCATCAGCGGAGGGGTAGACGCGTGGACGAGGTGCGGTGGTGGTGGAGGTGGTGGTGCTGCTGCCACTTCTATCGCCCACAGCACGCACAGCGTGATGATCCTGTTACAGAATCCGTTCTAGGGTCAGGACATTTTTACACAACCGTTGACTCGGAGGTGATGGTGGTTGTGTTCCACCTAGCGGCTCCACCATGTAGCAACACTCCGTGGCTCCACCTAGGGGCTCCACGCCGTGGTTCCACCTAGGGGCTCCACCCCGTGGCTCCATCTAGGAGCTCCACGCCGTGATTCCACCTAGGGGCTCCACCACGTGGTTCCATCTAAGAGCTCCATCTAGGAGCTCCACCTTGGGGCTCCACCACGTGGTTCCATCTAGGAGCTCCACCTTGGGGCTCCACGCCGTGGTTCCACCTAGGGGCTCCACCACGTGGTTCCATATAGGAGCTCCACCTAGGAGGTCCCACCCCGTAATTCCATCTAGGAGCTCCACCTAGGGGCTCCACTCCGTGGCTCCACCTGGAGTCGGCCACCTTTTCCACTGCAAACGAAACCAGAACCTCTTGTTCAGCACTGAGTTGAACAAAACTGTCCGGAATTAGACCGAACAGTTGGCAACCCGCGCTGTACTCACGGGGTTGGAGGCGCCGAGCCCAGCAGCCGCGGCTATCGAGTGCGCAGGCGGTGCAACTGCACTGGGGCCCACAGGTCTGAGGCACCCAAGCGCCGGAGTAAAGAGAGGGCAGAGATTGAGCAGAGAGGGGGCAGAGATTGGGCAGAGATTGGGCAGAGAGGGGGCAGAGAGGGGGCAGAGAGGGGGCAGAGATTGGGCAGAGAGGGAGCAGAGAGGGGGCAGAGAGGGGGCAGAGATTGGGCAGAGAGGGGGCAGAGATTGGGCAGAGAGGGGGCAGAGATTGGGCAGAGAGGGGGCAGAGATTGGGCAGAGATTGGGCAGAGAGGGGGCAGAGAGGGGGCAGAGAGGGGGCAGAGATTGGGCAGAGATTGGGCAGAGAAGGGGCAGAGAGGGGGCAGAGATTGGGCAGAGAGGGGGCAGAGATTGGGCAAAGAGGGGGCAGAGAGGGGGCAAAGAGGAGGCCCCATTCCATCCCGTGCACCAGGGCCCATGCCGACTGCGTGAGGCCAGTGACGTGAGTCTATGAGAACATCACTACCACCAACTACCCTCACTATGCACACAAACGTGGCGCCGCCCGTGGTCCGATCCGCTACGAATCATCACGACGCGACGATAATCGCGATGTTGAAACCAGAACCTCTTGTTCAGCACTGAGTTGAACAAAACTGTCCGGAATTAGACCGAACAGTTGGCAACCCGCGCTGTACTCACGGGGTTGGAGGCGCCGAGCCCAGCAGCCGCGGCTATCGAGTGCGCAGGCGGTGCAACTGCACTGGGGCCCACAGGTCTGAGGCACCCAAGCGCCGGAGTAAAGAGAGGGCAGAGATTGAGCAGAGAGGGGGCAGAGATTGGGCAGAGATTGGGCAGAGAGGGGGCAGAGAGGGGGCAGAGAGGGGGCAGAGATTGGGCAGAGAGGGAGCAGAGAGGGGGCAGAGAGGGGGCAGAGATTGGGCAGAGAGGGGGCAGAGATTGGGCAGAGAGGGGGCAGAGATTGGGCAGAGAGGGGGCAGAGATTGGGCAGAGATTGGGCAGAGAGGGGGCAGAGAGGGGGCAGAGAGGGGGCAGAGATTGGGCAGAGATTGGGCAGAGAAGGGGTAGAGAGGGGGCAGAGATTGGGCAGAGAGGGGGCAGAGATTGGGCAAAGAGGGGGCAGAGAGGGGGCAAAGAGGAGGCCCCATTCCATTCCCGTGCACCAGGGCCCATGCCGACTGCGTGAGGCCAGTGACGTGAGTCTATGAGAACATCACTACCACCAACTACCCTCACTATGCACACAAACGTGGCGCCGCCCGTGGTCCGATCCGCTACGAATCATCACGACGCGACGATAATCGCGATGTTGAGTTTCCCCAACGCTCTGCGCTGGCGACTCACGATCTGCACCGCCTGGCTGCTTGTGCCATGCCATGATCTCCGAGGGGACCGGCGATGACCGCCTGAACAGTTCCCCGGGTGCATTCCACTCACTGACTCGGCACGGCGTGCGCTACCGCCGGCCTTCTCCTCCTCCTCCTCGTCGTCGACGCCACGTTCATCAGCTGTGGAGCCGCGCTGCCACGGATTCCATCAGACGGCCTTCCCCGTCGCGGCGCTGGCGGCGGCGATGGCGTCGCTCCGCGGCGACCCCCGGCCGGACCCCCACGGCGACCCCCGGCCGTGCCTCTGCGGCCTCGCGTTTCAACAGGGTACCCCCCCCCCGCCCCGCCCCGACGTCTCTGGGGCCCTTCATCGCCGGGGACCACGTATCCTGGAGTACTCGGGGGCCCCCGCGTGTCCAGGGTCTCTGGGCTGAACCGGGGTCCCCATGTAGCTCGATCTGTGCGCATCCCCGTACTATTGGGGGCCCTTTCTGGCAGTCCCCGTCGACTATCCAGAACCCTTGCCCCCACCTCTCTGGAGGGGGGTAGTCCCTTGAGGTCCCCCGAGGTCCCCATTGGGGGTCCCCCCCCCCCCCCCCCCCCACCGCCCACCGTGGGTCACGTGCCGGCGTGGGGCCCCTCCGGCACGTCACAGTAGGCGTAGTCGTAGGAGCCGTCGCTGTCCTCCCCGGAGCGCGGGGCCTCCGCGCCGTCCCCACGCGGCGACTGCGGGTCAAGGGGGCGCCGCGGGGACAGCGAGCCGGGCGTGGCGGTGGAGGGCAGCGCCAGGCCGATGTAGTAGAACACGAGGCCGAAGACATGGTTCACATCCTGAGTCTCGAACGAGAAGAGACCCGGGCCGGACTCGCAGCGCGAGCCCGCGACCAGGCTGAACACGCCCTGCGAGGGGGGCGGGTAGGGGGGGGGGGGCACGGTTCAGTCGGGGCCACACCGATAGACCAGGGTAAGCGCGTCCCCCTGTCCCCCTGTCCCCCTGTCCCCGTGTCCCCCTGTCCCCGTGTCTCTGTCGTTCTGCGTCTCTATACCCGGCGTGCGCCCCCGCACTCCCCCCACGCCCCTCCGGCGGCCCCCCGTGCCCGCGTGCCCCTCCCCCCCCCCCCCCCGTGCCCCCCCCCCCCCGATCCCGCGCGCGCCGTTACCGTGGCGCGCCCGAACTTGGCGGTGAGGGTGTAGGGCCACGTGCAGAGCGTGCGCCGCTCGGCGAGCGTGAGCAGCGTGAGGCCCTCGGCGTGCACGCTCAGCACGTGCTCCCCGGCGCCCACGCGCAGCGCCGCGCCTCTCTCCGAGCGCACGCGCACCAAGAACTCCCCTTCTGGATTCGGAAGAGGGGTGGGGGGGGGGGAAGGGAGGTGCCACGTACAGACAGCTACCACCGAGGGGTGTGGGGGGGTCCCCTAGGCTAGGCCGTGGTCACCGTTGCCACGAGCTTCACTCGTCGATTCCTCCAAGCGCTGCGCTTCCGAGGAAGTGAAGGGGAGGCGGCCGCTCGGCACCTCGGCTCCCAACCCTCGGCGCTCAGACGTCGAGCGGCGCGCTGCTTGTCGCTGCTTCAGCTCCGCTCGCCCAGTGAGTCGGGGGAGAAGTTGTTCACTTGCTCAAGGCTCGCGCGGCGCTTTCAGACGGCGCTTCTGCGGCCGTCTGGAACGCTCTTTTCCGATATAACTCCAGAACGCCACTGGAGCTAATCACTTTGAAGTAAATTAGATTGACGAACTCGTTTCTTTAGAACTGCTTTGTGTGTTAGGTTGTTGCCATTTCCCGCACCTCTGATTAGCACGGTTGGCTATGTACAGTGCGAAAGAAGTTCAACATACGTACATCACGTGTACATCACACACCCGCTCCCTTGTCTTTACACTGGCTACCAGTCAAGTGGACTATACGATATTGCGAGGCATTCAGTGGCTTAGCCTATCAATATCTACAGGAACCGATCCGTGTTTACTCTCCAACGGGCTCCCTGAGATCTTAGGATCGCCTCCTTCTAAGGGCTCCGAGGTCAAGGCTCTGTTCACTGCAGGTCACCTCGCCATGGAGTTCCCTCCTCCCATTGTCGTCACCGCCGTCTCGTCTCTCCACGCACATCTCTCGGTGATGCCCGCGCTCAATCCAGGCAACGTGTTCACCAGTCGCTTGGCGTGCGGGCGACTCACGTCGTCTCATCATCTCGGTGACATTGGAGTTGAAGTCCGTCGCCTTAGCGGGCAGCACCACCACGTAGTCGGCCTCCACCTCCAGCGGCGGCGGCTGCTGCTGCTGCTGCCTCACCCCCTCCTCGCTCTGCTCCTCGCCCACGGTGTCCACACTGCCACGGCAACGTGGGTCTCTATCAGTCTACGGGTCTCTGTGTGAGTCTACGGGTCTCTGTGTGAGTATAGGGGTCTCTGTGTGAGTCTGTGTGTCTCTGTGTGAGTCTATGGGTCTATGTGTGAGTCTATGGGTCACTGTGTGAGTCTATGGGTCTCTGTGTCAGTCTACGGGTCTCTGTGTGAGTCTATGGGTCTCTGTGTGAGTCTGTGTGTCTCTGTGTGAGTCTGTGGATCTCTGTGTGAGTCTATGTGTCTCTGTGTAAATCTACGGGTCTCTGTGTGAGTCTGTGTGTTTCTGTGTGAGTCAACGGGTCTATGTGTGAGTCTACGGGTTCTGTGTGAGTCTATGTGTCTCTGTGTGAGTCTGTGTGTCTCTGTGTGAGCCTACGGGTCTCTGTGTGAGTATAGGGGTCTGTGTGAGTCTGTGTCTCTGTGTAAGTCTACGGGTCTTCTTGTGAATTTATGGGTCGCTGTGTGATTCTATGGGTCTCTGTGTGAGTCTGTGTGTCTCTGTGTAAATCTACGGGTCTCTGTGTGAGTCTGTGTGTCTCTGTGTGAGTCAACGGGTCTATGTGTGAGTCTACGGGTTCTGTGTAAGTCTATGGGTCTCTGTGTGAGTCTATGGGTCTCTGTGAGAGTATACGGCTCTCTGTGTAAGGCTATGGTTCTCTTTGTGAGTTTATGAGTCTCTGTGTGAGTCTGTGTGTCTCTGTGTGAGTCTACGGGTCTCTGTGTGAGTATGTGTGTCTCTGTGTAAGTCTATGGGTCTCTGTGAGGGTATACGGCTCCCTGTGTAAGTCTCTGGTTCTCTTTGTGAGTTTATGAGTCTCTGTGTGAGTCTGTGTGTTTCTATATGAGTCTACGGGGTCTGTGTGAGTCTGTGTCTCTGTGTGAGTCTATGGTTCTCTGTGTGAGTCTATGGTTCTCTGTGGGAACGTGTGGGTCTCTGTGTGAGTCTATGGTCTCTGTGAGAGTCTACGGCTCTCTGTGTAAGTCTATGGTTCTCTGTGGGAATCTGTGGGTCTCTGTGTGAGTCTATGGTTCTATGTGGGAACCTGTGGGGGTCTGTGTGAGTCTATGGGTCTCTGTGTGAGTCTGTGTGTTTCTATATGAGTCTACGGGGTCTGTGTGAGTCTGTGTGTTTCTGTGTGAGTCTATGGTTCTCTGTGTGAGTCTATGGTTCTCTGTGGGAACGTGTGGGTCTCTGTGTGAGTCTATGGTCTCTGTGAGAGTCTACGGCTCTCTGTGTAAGTCTATGGTTCTCTGTGGGAACCTGTGGGTCTCTTTGTGAGTCTGTGGGTCTCAGTGTGAGTCTATGGGTTCTGTGTGAGTCTGTGTCTCTGTGTAAGTCTACGGGTCTCTGTGTAGGTCTGTGTCTCTGTGTGAGTCTATGGATCACTGTGAGAGTCTACGGCTTTCTGTGTAAGTCTATGGTTCTCTGTGGGAATCTGTGGGTCTCTGTGTGAGTCTGTGTGTCTTTGTGTGCGTCTACGGGTCTGTATGTGGGTCTGTGTGTCTCTGTGTGAGTTTAGGGTTCTCCATGTGAGTCTATGGGTCGCTGTGTGAGTCTACGGGTCTCTATGTGGGTCTATGTGTCTCTGTGTGAGTTTAGGATTCTCTATGTGAGTCTAGGGTCTCTTTGAAAGTCTACGGGTCTCTTTGTGAGTTTACAGGTCTTTGTGTGAGTCTATGGTTTTCTGTCTAAGTCTGCGTGTCTCTGTGTGAGCCTGTGCGTCTTTGTGTGATTCTACGATTCTCTATGTGAGTCTACGGGTCTCTGTGTGAGTCTGTGTACCTCTTTGTAAGTTTATGGGTCTCTTTGTGAGTTTACAGGTCTCTGTGTGAGTCTGTGTGTCTCTTTGTGAGTCTGTGGTTCTCTGTGAGAGTCTGGGTCTCTGTATGAGTCTATGGGTTCTGTGTAAGTCTGTGTCTCTGAATGAGTCTACGGGTCTCTATGTGAGTGTACGGGTCTCTATGTGAGTCTGTGTGAGTCTATGGTCTCCGTGTGAGTCTACGGGTCCCTGTGTGAGTTTGTCTCTGTGTGAGCCTACGGGTCTCTGTGTGAGTCTAGGGGCCCTTTTGTGAGTTTACGAGTCGCTGTGTGATTCTACACGTCTCTGTGTTAGTCTACGGGTTCTGTGTAAGTCTATGGGTCTCTGTGTGAGTCTGTGGTTCTCTGTGAGAGTCTGGGTCTCTGTGTGAGTCTATGGGTTCTGTCTAAGTCTGCATATCTCTGTGTGAACCTGTAGGTCTCTGTGTGAGCCTGTGCATCTCTGTGTGATTCTACGGGTCTCTGTGTGAGTCTGTGTGTCTGTGTGTGAGTCAACGGGTCTATGTGTGAGTCTACGGGTCTCTGTGCGAGTCTGTGTGTCTCTGTGTGCATCTATGGGTCACTGTGAGAGTCTACGGCTTTTTGTGTAAGTCTATGGTTCTCTGTGGAAACCTGTGCGTCTCTGTGTGAGTCTGTGTGTCTCTGTGTGAGTTTAGGGTTCTCTATGTGAGTTTATGGGTCTCTGTGTGAGTCTGTGTGTCTCTGTGTGAGTCTGTGTCGCTGTGTGAGCCTATGGGTCTCTGTATGAGTTTCTGTGTCTCTGTGTGAGTCTAGGGTCTCTTTGTAAGTCTACGGGTCTCTTTTTTGAGTTTTGAGTTACAGGTATGTGAGTCTATGGTTCTCTGTCTAAGTCTGCGTGTCTCTGTGTGAGCCTGTGCGTCTCTGTGTGAGTCTACGATTCTCTGTGAGTCTACGGGTCTTTGTGTGAGTCTGTGTACCTCCTTTGTAAGTCTACGGGTCTCTTTGTGAGTTTACAGGTCTCTGTGTGAGTCTTGGTGTCTCTGTGTGAGTCTGTGGTTTTCTGTGAGAGTCTGGGTCTCTGTGTGAGTCTATGGGTTCTGTGTGAGTCTGTGTCTCTGATTGAGTCTACGGGTCTCTATGTGAGTGTACGGGTCTCTATGTGAGTCTGTGTGTCTCTGTGTGAGACTATGGGCTCCGTGTGATTCTACGGGTCCCTGTGTGAGTTGGTGTGTTTCTGTGTGAGCCTACGGGTCTCTGTGTGAATCTAGCGCCCCTTTGTGAGTTTACGAGTCGCTCTGTGATTCTACGCGTCTCTGTGTTAGTCTACGGGTTCTGTGTAAGTCTGTGGGTCTCTGTGTGAGTCTGTGGTTCTCTGTGAGAGTCTGGGTCTCTGTGTGATTCTATGGGTTCTGTCTAAGTCTGGGTGTCTCTGTATGAACCTATAGGTCTCTGTGTGATTCTACGGGTCTCTGTGTGAGTCAACGGGTCTATGTGTGAGTCTACGGGTCTCTGTGCGAGTCTGTGTAATTTTACGGTTCTCTGTGTGAGTATGTGGGTCGCTGTGTGAGTCTGTGTGTCTCTGTGTAAGTTTACAGTCTCCGTGTGAGTCTGTGTGTCTCTGTTTGAGTCTATAGTTCACTGTGTTAGTCTGTGTGTCTCTGTGTGAGTCTACGGGGTCCATGTGAGTCTGTGTGTCTCTGTGTGAGTCATTGGATCTCTGTGTAAGTCTTTGGGTCTCTGTGAGAATCTACGGCTCTCTGTGTAAATCTGTGGTTCTTTGTGTGAACCTGTGGATCCCTGTGTGAGCCTCTGGGTCTCTGTGTGAGTCTGTGTATCTCTGTGTGAGTCTGTGTGTCTCTGTGTGATTCTGGGTGTCTCTGTGTGAGTCTGTGTGTCTCTGTGTGAGTCAACGGGTCTCCGTGTGAGTCTGTGTGTCTCTGTGTAAGTCTACCGTCTCGGTGTGAGTCTGTGTCCTCTGTGTGAGTCTATAGTTAACTGTGTGTGTCTGTGGGTCTCTATGTGAGTCTATGGGTTCTGTGTGAGTCTGTGTCTCTGATTGAGTCTACGGGTATATATGTGAGTGTACGGGTCTCTATGTGAGTCTGTATGTCTCTTTGTGAGATTATGGGCTCCGTGTGAATCTACGGGTCCCTGTGTGAGTTTGTGTGTCTCTGTGTGAGCCTACGGGTCTCTGTGTGAATCTAGGGGCCCCTTTGTGAGTTTACGAGTCGCTGTGTGATTCTACGCGTCTCTGTGTTAGTCTACGCGTTCTGTGTAAGTCTATGGAACTCTGTGTGAGTCTGTGGTTCTCTGTGAGAGTCTGGGTTTCTGTGTGATTCTATGGGTTCTGTCTAAGTCTGCGTGTCTTTGTGTGAACCTGTTGGTCTCTGTGTGAGCCTGTGCGTCTCTGTGTGATTCTACGGGTCTCTGGGTGAGTCTACGGGTCTCTGTGTGAGTCTGTGTGTCTCTGTGTGAGTCAACGGGTCTCTTTGTGAGTCTGTGTGTCTGTGTGTGAGTCAACGGGTCTATGTGTGAGTCTACGGGTCTCTGTGCGAGTCTGTGTAATTTTACGGGTCTCTGTGTGAGTATGTGGGTCGCTGTGTGAGTCTGTGTGTCTCTGTGTAAGTCTATGGTCTCCCTGTCAGTCTGTGTGTCTCTGTTTGAGTCTATAGTTCACTGTGTGAGTCTGTGTGTCTCTGTGTGAGTCTTTGGGTCTCTGTGAGAGTCTACGGCTCTAAGTGTAAGTCTATGGTTCTCTGTGTGAACCTGTGGATTCCTGTGTGAGCCTCTGGGTCTCTGTGTGAGTCTGTGTATCTCTGTGTGAGTCTGTGTGTGTCTGTGTGTCTCTGTGTGAGTCTGGGTGTCTCTGTGTGAGTCCGTGTGTCTCTGTGTGAGTCAACGGGTCTCTGTTTGAGTCTGTGTTTCTCTCTCTAAGTCGACAGTCTCCGTGTGAGTCTGTGTGTCTCTGTGTGAGTCTATTGTTAACTGTGTGAGTCTGTGGGTCTCTATGTGAGTCTATGGGTTATGTGTGAGTCTGTGTTTCTGATTGAGTCTACGGGTCTCTATCTGAGTGTACGAGTCTGTATGTGAGTCTGTGTGTCTCTGTGTGAGTCTATGGTTTCCGTGTGAGTCTACTGGTTTCTGTGTGAGTTTGTGTGTCTCTGTGTGAGCCTACGGGTCTCTGTGTGAGTCTAGGGGCCCCTTTGTGAGTTTTCGAGTCGCTGTGTAATTCTACGCATCTCTGTGTGAGTCTGTGTGTCTCTGTGTAAGTCTACGGGTCTCTTTGTGAGTTTACGAATCTCTGTGTGAATCTGTAGGTCTCTGTGTGAGTCCAGGGTCTCTTTGAAAGACTACCGGTTTCTTTGTGGGTTTATAGGTCTTTGTGTGAGGCTATGGTTCTCTGTCTAAGTCTGCGTGTCTCTGTGTGAGCCTGTGCGTCTCTGTGTGATTCTACAATTCTCTATGTGAGTCTACGGGTCTCTGTGTGAGTCTGTGTACCTCTTTGTAAGTCTATGGGTCTCTTTGTGAGGTTACAGGTCTCTGTGTGAGTCTGTGTGGCTCTGTGTGAATCTGTGGTTCTCTCTGAGAGTCTGGGTCTCTGTGTGAGTCTATGGGTTCTGTGTGAGTCTGTGTCTCTGATTGAGTCTACGGGTCTCTATGTGAGTGTTCGGGGTCTCTATGTGAGTTTGTGTGAGTCTATGGACTCCGTGTGAGTCTACGGGTCCCTGTATGAGTCTGTGTGTTTCTATGTGAGCCCACGGGTCTCTGTGTGAGTCTAGGGGCCCCTTTGTGAGTTTACGAGTCGCTGTGTGATTCTACGCATCTCTGTGTGAGTCTGTGTTTCTCTGTGTGAGTCTACAGGTTCTGTGTAAGTCTATGGGTCTCTGTGTGAATCTTTGGTTCTCTATGAGAGTCTGGGTCTCTGTGTGAGTCTATGAGTTCTGTCTAAGTCTGCGTGTCTCTGTGTGAACTTGTAGGTCTCTGTGTGAGGCTGTGCATCTCTGTGTGACTCTACGGGTCTCTGTGTGAGTCTACGGGTCTCTGTGTGAGTTTGTGTGTCTCTGTGTGAGTCAACGGGTCTCTGTGTGAGTCTGTGTGTGAGCCAACGGGTCTATGTGTGAGTCTACGGGTCTCTGTGCGAGTCTGTGTGTCTCTGTGTAATTTTACGGGTCTCTGTGTGAGTATGTGGGTCGCTGTGTGAGTCTGTGTGTCTCTGTGTAAGTCCACGGTCTCCGTGTGAGTCTGTGTGTCTCTGTGTGAGTCTACAGGGTCTGTGTCAGTCTGTGTGTCTCTGTGTGAGTCATTGGGTCTCTGTGTGAGTCTATGGGTCTCTGTGAGAGTCTACGGCTCTCTGTGTAAGTCTATGGTTCTCTGTGTGAACCTGTGGATCCCTGTGTGAGCCTGTGTATCTCTGTGTGAATCTGTGTGTCTCTGTGTGAGTCTGTGTGTCTCTGTGTGGGTCTGTGTGTCTCTGTGTGAACCTGTCTGCTGTCCCCATCACGCTGTGTTGCTCAGGACCCCGTGGGGCTGCGACGTCCCGAGTCCGTGCTTTGGGTGCCCGGTGCTCACGTCCTGGGCAAGGGGGTGTCGGTGGGAAGATTCAGGGGGAGGGGGGGGAAGGAGTCAGGGCGATGAAATTGGCGAGAGGCAAGAGGGACGTGTGAGAGGGGGGAGGGAGGACTGATGGGGGGAGGGTTAATGGAAGGAGGGAGAGATTGATGGAGGGAAGGGGGGTGGGCAGCTGTACCTGTGTTCACGAGACTGCCCTCTGGGGGTGCCCTGGGCCCCATCACCTCCCCTTGGGTGGGGTCTGTGATGTAATCGTTATCGCTGGGGGAGGGGGGAGGGAGAGGGCAGCAGAGTCGCAATCAGGCGCGAGGTAAAGACATGGGGGAGAATTAAAACAAAAACTCGTCCCACCCTCTGTTTCAACTGACACGCCGGGAGATTGGATTAGAAGCGGCGACCTCCTGAGACTCCCGCACCGGCCGCGTTGCAGCTGGCTCGGTGGCTAGGAGATGTTAACAACCTTGCCTGGTATGCAGGAGGTCGTGGGTTCCATCCCGACCCTGACGCCCACTGTATTTTTGTAGACCTAGAGACTCACATAGAGACCCATAGACACAAATAAAGACCTAGAGACTCGCATAGAGACTCCTAGACACAAATAGAGACCTAGACACTCACATAGAGACCCATAGACACAAATAGAAACCTAGAGACTCACATAGAGACCCATAGACACAAATAGACAGCTAGAGATTACATAGAGACCCATAGACACAAATAGAGACCTAGACACTCACATAGAGACCCATAGACACAAATAGAGACCTAGAGAATCACATAGAGACCCATAGACACAAATAGAGACCTAGAGACTCACGTAGAGACCCATAGACACAAATTGAGACCTAGAGACTCACATAGAAACTCATAGACTCAAATAGAGACCTAGACACTCACATAGAGACCCATAGACACAAATAGAGACTTAGACACTCACATAGCGACCCATAGATACAAATAGAGACCTAGACACTCACATAGAGACCCATAGACACAAATAGAGAACTAGACACTCACATAGAGACCCATAGACACAAATAGAGACCTAAACACTCAAAGAGAAACCCATAGACACAAATAGAGACCTAGACACTCACATAGAGACTCACAGACACAAATAGAGACCTAGACACTCACACAGAGACCCATAGACACAAATAGAGACCTACACACTCACAGAGAAACCCATAGACACAAATAGAGACCTAGACACTCACATAGAGACTCACAGACACAAATAGAGACCTAGACACTCACACAGAGACCCATAGACACAAATAGAGACCTACACACTCACAGAGAAACCCATAGACACAAATAGAGACCTAGACACTCACATAGAGACCCACAGACACAAATAGAGACCTAGACACTCACACAGAGACCCATAGACACAAATAGAGACCTAGACACTCACATGGAGACTCATAGACACAAATAGAGACCTAGACACTCACATAGAGACCCATAGACACAAATAGAGACCTAGATACTCACATAGAGACCCATAGACACAAATAGAGACCTAGAGACTCACATAGAGACTCATAGACACAAATAGAGACTAAACACTCACATAGAAACCCATAGACACAAATAGAGACCTAGACACTCACATAGAGACCATAGACACAAATAGAGACCTAGGGACTCACATAGAGACTCATAGACACAAATAGACACTTAGACACTCACATAGAGAACCATAGACACAAATAGAGAACTAGACACTCAGATAGAGACCCATAGACACAAATAGACACCTAGACACTCACATAGAGACCCATAGACACAAATAGAGACCTAGAGACTCACATAGAGACCCATAGACACAAATAGAGACCTAGACACTCACATAGAGACCCATAGACACAAATAGAGACCTAGAGACTCACATAGAGACCCATAGACACAAACAAAGACCTAGAGACTCGCATAGAGACTCCTAGACACAAATAGAGACCTAGACACTAACATAGAGACCCATAGACACAAATAGAGACCTAGACACTCACATAGAGACTCATAGACACAAATAGAGACCTAGACACTCACAAAGAGACCCAAAGACACAAATAGAGATGTAGAGACTGACGTAGAGACCCATAGACACAAATAGAGACTTAGAGACTCACATAGAGACTCATAGACACAAATAGAGACTTAGACACTCACATAGAGACTCATAGACATAAATAGAGACCTAGATACTCACATAGAGACCCATAGACACAAATAGAGACCTAGACACTAACATAGAGACCCATAGACACAAATATAGACTTAGGCACTCTCATAGACACTCATAGACACAAATAGAGACTTAGAGACTCACATAGAGACACATACACGCAAATAGAGACCTAGAGACTCACATAGAGACCCATAGACACAAATAGCGACCTAGACACTCACATAGAGACCCATAGACACAAATAGAGACTTAGAGACTCACATAGAGACCCATAGACACAAATAGAGACCTAGACACTCACATAGAGACCCATAGACACAAATAGAGACTTAGACACTCACATAGAGACCCATAGACACAATTAGAGACCTAGACACTCACAAAGAGACCCATAGACACAAATAGAGACCTAGAGACTCACATAGATACTCATAGACACAAATAGAGACCTAGAGACTCACATAGAGACCCATAGACACAAATAGAGACTTAGACACTCACATAGAGACGCATAGACACATATAGAGACCTAGACAATCACATTGAGACCCATAGACACAAATAGAGGCCTAGACACTCACATAGAGACCTATAGACACAAATACAGACCTAGACACTCACATAGAGACCCATAGACACAAATAGAGACTTAGAGACTCACATAGAAACTCATAGACTCAAATAGAGACCTAGACACTAACATAGAGACCCATAGACACAAATAGAGACTTAGACACTCACATAGAGACCCATAGACACAAATTAAGACTTAGAGACTCACATAGAGACCCATAGACACAAATAGAGACCTAGACACTCACACAGAGACCCATAGACACAAATAGAGACCTAGAGACTCACATAGATACTCATAGACACAAATAGAGACCTAGAGACTCACATAGAAACTCATAGACTCAAATAGAGACCTAGACACTCACATAGAGACTCATACACACAAATAGAGACCTAGAGACTCACATAGAGACCCATAGACACAAATAGAGACCTAGATACTCACATAGAGACCCATAGACACAAATAGAGACCTAGACTACTCACAAAGAGACCCAACGACACAAATAGAGATGTAGAGACTCACGTAGATACCCATAGACACAAATAGAGACTTATACACTCACATAGAGACTCATAAATAAAAATAGAGACCTAGACACTCACATAGAGACCCATAGACACAAAAATAGACTTAGAGACTCACATAGAGACTCATAGACACAAATAGAGACTTAGACACTCACATAGAGACTCATAGACATAAATAGAGACCTAGATACTCACATAGAGACCCATAGACACAAATAGAAACCTAGACACTAACATAGAGACCCATAGACACAAATAGAAACTTAGACACTCTCATAGACACTCATAGACACAAATAGAGACTTAGAGACTCACATAGAGACTCATACACGCAAATAGAGACCTAGAGACTCACATAGAGACCCATAGACACAAATAGCGACCTAGACACTCACATAGAGACCCATAGACACAAATAGAAACTTAGAGACTCACATAGAGACCCATAGACACAAATAGAGACCTAGACACTCACATAGAGACCCATAGACACAAATAGAGACTTAGACACTCACATAGAGACCCATAGACACAATTAGAGACCTAGACACTCACAAAGAGACCCATAGACACAAATAGAGACCTAGAGACTCACATAGATACTCATAGACACAAATAGAGACCTAAAGACTCACAAAGAGACCCATAGACACAAATAGAGACTTAGACACTCACATAGAGACCCATAGACACATATAGAGACCTAGACAATCACATAGAGACCCATAGACACAAATAGAGGCCTAGACACTCACATAGAGACCTATAGACACAAATACAGACCTAGACACTCACATAGAGACCCATAGACACAAATAGAGACTTAGACACTCACATAGAGACCCATAGACACATATTAAGACGTAGAGACTCACATAGAGACCCATAGACACAAATAGAGACCTAGACACTCACACAGAGACCCATAGACACAAATAGAGACCTAGAGACTCACATAGAGACCCATAGACACAAATAGAGACCTAGACACTCACACAGAGACCCATAGACACAAATAGAGACCTAGAGACTCACATAGATACTCATAGACACAAATAGAGACTTAGACACTCTCATAGACACTCATAGACGCAAATAGAGACTTAGAGACTCACATAGAGACTCATACACGCAAATAGAGACCTAGAGACTCACATAGAGACCCATAGACACAAATAGCGACCTAGACACTCACATAGAGACCCATAGACACAAATAGAGACTTAGAGACTCACATAGAGACCCATAGACACAAATAGAGACCTAGACACTCACATAGAGACCCATAGACACAAATAGAGACTTAGACACTCACATAGAGACCCATAGACACAATTAGAGACCTAGACACTCACAAAGAGACCCATAGACACAAATAGAGACCTAGAGGCTCACGTAGATACTCATAGACACAAATAGAGACCTAGAGACTCACATAGAGACCCATAGACACAAATAGAGACTTAGACACTCACATAGAGACCCATAGACACATATAGAGACCTAGACAATCACATAGAGACCCATAGACACAAATAGAGGCCTAGACACTCACATAGAGACCTATAGACACAAATACAGACCTAGACACTCACATAGAGACCCATAGACACAAATAGAGACCTAGAGACTCACATAGAAACTCATAGACTCAAATAGAGACCTAAACACTAACATAGAGACCCATAGACACAAATAGAGAATTAGACACTCACATAGAGACCCATAGACACAAATTAAGACTTAGAGACTCACATGGAGACCCATAGACACAAATAGAGACCTAGACACTCACACAGAGACCCATAGACACAAATAGAGACCTAGAGACTCACATAGATACTCATAGACACAAATAGAGACCTAGAGACTCACATAGAAACTCATAGACTCAAATAGAGACCTAGACACTCACATAGAGACTCATACACACAAATAGAGACCTAGAGACTCACATAGA